GAGCCTCATACCTTCCGTCTACATATTTCAAATCCTCTTCAAATTGTTTAATTATTCGCTCATCGCCAGAACTCCTTTCCGACGCGCACTCAGAGATTCCTAGACTTTCAATCTCCCAAAGCTGACGAATCTGTTCCGATATTTTTAATTCCTCTTCCGAATCGATGTGTATAAACAAGCCGGTGGAGTCTGACCCTGAACTTAACTTCTTACTTACTCTCTCCCCCCACTCTACCACTCAACGTCCAACCGAATATGCTTTCATGCAGTACTAAATAGTCTGTTAACCGATGTGTTTTCCCCGTTAAGATGCAGTTCAAGTAATCATTCCCAATTAAAATCTGTACCTCTGCCACTTCACTATCGCAGCTGTCAGATAAGTGAAATCCTTGTTGGCGAAGATTGTTTATAATTTCTGCAGATGGCCTGGGTAATGCATTGGAACATATGGTTTTTACTTCGAGTGCTTCGATGATTAGAGTGAACCCTGTCTTATTTTTTAGAGAAAGTCTTTTTCTTTTAAATTCTCGCACTGGCGGATTCGAAGATGCAAATGTATGAATTCTTAATCTTTCTTTACCAATAGTTGGTAAACTTGCTTTTCTGGAAATAGACTGACAAACATAAGATCTTTCGGAAGCTGAATCGCATAACAACCTAACGTTAAATGTGGAATTATTTCCTACCAGTTGACCTCTCAATGTTTGATAATAAATCACGTCATTAGGAATTTGCTTGCTCAGTGTTTCGAGGAATAGTGAACTAACGTTTGTCTCTTTTGCTGCGCTCGCAGTATTTTTAATGGATTTATTTTCTTGCCCTTCTGCATCACACAGGCTCTCTAAATGCGACAAAGATTTGCAAATATTACATTTAACCCATTTTGCCTTACAAAATGGTTTTTTGTGACCCTTTTTTAAACAGCGCTTGCACTTAAATTGATCGTATAATGCTTTGTGTTTCTCTGAAATACTTAAGTCGCAGTCTTTTGAGAGGTGAGATTTAAGACAAAAGTCGCACATATAATTTTCGACTGATGTATTAAGCGTCGTCGCTGATACCATTTTCTTTTTAATTGGAGCAACACTCTTACGATAGTTGTCGGTATTTCTTTCACTGGTTATCGAAAGTGTTTGTTGTTTAAGACCCAGAGTTAGTGACTTTTCGCGCGCTTCTACTTCTCTCTTTAGAAACTTAAATATAAGCAACAATAAATAAATAAAATAAATAAACAACAACTCTTTAGAAACAACAATAAAATCTGACACTGTTGACTCTGTGTCGACCTTTTGCTCCCTACTAAACTGTAACACTAAATCTTGCGGTATACACTTATATAAAATAGGAAAAGTAATAGATTGCCGTAAGAATTAAAATTAATATCTAATGTCTCTAAACTTCTTGTTTGAACTGTTATTTCATCATATAGTTTTCTTAAACTGGATACATCACTTGAACGGCGTACTGGCTCTAAAGCTAGGAGAAACGTTCATATGCGCGCTAACTAATATTTCTTTTTTCCCAAATCTGTCAGTTAAGATTTCGATGGCCTTTATATAGTTTTCTCCTATTAATGGCAATCCGCTTATAGCTTTTGCAGCTGAACCGGTGAGTAAAGATCTTAAATAGTTAAACTTCTCAACATCTTGAAGCGTATTGTTTTCGTGAATGGCAGCTTTTATACTGAGCCCAAAATTCATTAGTAAATTTACATAAATCGCCGCTGAAAGTTTCTAAGGTAATGCGAGGCAATTTAGTATTATAATTAGTTTTGATTTCCGAAACTTGTGAAGTTGTTCCGGTTTTACCCACATTTTGAATATATCTATTGACTTTAGATTTACATCTAATGATGGATTCGCTGTATTCTAAACAATGTTCTACTTCTGTCTCTAATTCCTGAACAGTGCTTTGAGCATTAATAACTTCATCATATTTTAACAAGCTAGTTTCTCTCTCTCTCTCTCGATTAACACTGAAAGTGATTCCTGCAACACTTCTAGGTTCGGATTCTCGCTTTGCAATTCCTCATCTAATTTCCTTATTAATTTTGTTACACTGGTACGAACCGAACCTCTAATTTTTCTATTTCTCTCGACGGTTTCTTCAAAACTCATTATCAAAGATAAATTGCATGCAGATAAATGAAATGACTTACCTTCTGGCCTGATGCTACCAAAACTTGATGTATGTAATAACTTACTTACATCTTCTTTTATCAGTGGTTCTTGTGTTTTATTGGCCAAACAAAGACACTTTCCTTTAACTAAATCTATTTAAAGAAGAGAAGACTATGTACAAATATTATATAGTACTGATTACAGAGTATCTAGCTTATGTCACTCTCAACCACTCTCCTGAACCTCTCAACCCTCTCTACCGAAACTCTTAATTAGCTAAACATACGGGCGGCGCAGCGCCCTCTATCTCTTTTTTCTACATATGTCAAATAGAATTTCTGATATATATTTACTAATATGTAAAGGATCGACAAAGCAAAAGTATGTTTCGAAGTCCATTAAACAAAAAGTGGAATTGCTGGAAAAAATGGATAAAGGCATATCCTGTGTTTATCTAAACTTTAACGTTTGTTTAACTTTAACGCTGCGACGCGCAATGAATTGGACGTTGATCTGTCAGCACTATCCTTATCTTCAGGGCAGATGTTTCTATTTTATTTGGCTTATAATTCCTTACTAAATGTAGTATTTCATCTCGATGTACTCCGTCTTTGATATGATTTAAATCAAATTCCTCGTCATTATAATTTGCTTCCGATAGCAAAGAAAGTGACAAAGGTTATTGAAAATGAAAAAATTTCAATTGACTAATTAGTCGGTATTCTCGACACAGCAATTATAGGACTTGAACAGCGGAACTTTGTAACTGAACAAGAAATTATGTCTGTTTATAAGAATAAGAGAAATGTATTATCACATAAAAAACGAAGGCAACTTAAACAACTTACATTTGAAAGAAATGTTTAATAAAGTAAACAAATAAATATTAAGCTTTTTTTTTTAAATTTTGATACCCTTTAGATCATAATTGTTCTTTATTTTTCATAAATTATGGTTTCATATTTTTAAAATTTTATAATTTCTGCATGCCATCTTACCAGTTTTAAAAAACTGATGATCTATAATCTGGAAAAATCGATAATCCGGAATCGCCGAAGTCCCGACGAGTCCGGATTAACAACTTTTGAATGTAAATCTTTATAATCCTCTTGACTGCCACACTTTTAGTTTGAATTTGACTGATTCTTGTTTAATTACGTCACCGGGAGCTGTAATTGACTTTTGTTAGTATCAGAACATACCTTTATTGTTCTAAGTTCTTTTTAACTAAGAAGCTTATTTAAACCTTTGTCTGATATTATAGTTTCTTTCAGACATAGCGATAATTTGCTTCACATCTGTCGGGGGGTTGGGACTATTTAACTTTAACCAGATCAATTAAACCCTCATAGATACATTGTGAAAAGTTTGACAAATTAGGAGATAAAGCACACAGAAACTAGCGAGAACATTGGTTTGCATATTTAGACAAATTTCTAATTATTGTTAGAAAAGATGCTTAAAGAGAAGGAAATCAATATAAACTAGCCAAAATGTTTGCGAAGGCTTATTGAGACATTAGGTATTTTTGAAAGCAGGAAAGATAAAAAGTTAACGCCTTTCCCGGGAATCGAACCACGGACCTCTGGAATACCGGCCCAATGTGCAAACCACTACACCACGAAGGCTCCCCAAGAAGGTAGGAGAAATACCTTATCTACTTCCCCCCTTAAAGGGTAACTGGGGTTTTTAGGGGACCCAATCGCCAAATCCTGGGTGTGGAGAACAATTATCCAACACCCTTTTAGTTCGGGTGCCAATGTAGATACATTAGGTATTTTTTAAAGCAGAAAAGATGAAAAAATTAACAGCGCCTTCGCCGGGAATCGAACTGCGAACCTCTGGAATACCGGCTCAGTGTGCAAACCACTACACTATGAAGGCTCTCTAAGAAGGTGGGAGAAATACCTTATAAGCTTCAAATTGAAATGACGGATAAATATTTTGTTGAGTATTGTTGTTACAAAACATAAATGTTTTGTAGCTTTTAATGTGTAATTATCCTAATAATATCATTTAAGAATCAGTGTCATAAATTAATGTATTTTAAACTGCAAAATTTTATTAGATTTTGATTTTAATAAGGCTTTTTTTGAACAAGTATTGTCAAAAAAATCAAATTTAATAGTGGCCATGTAAATCCATAATGACTAAGGTTATCTAATTACCTGATTTAATTATTTAACTACTTACCCTTAAAAGTTATCTCTACATATTAAAGCAAGTTATTGTTTTTCATTAATACTCACTGTGGTCACAAGATAAAACACAAAAATGTAAAAATTAAAGTAAAACTTATTCTTTGCATCTACTGAGACTTAGAATAATATATACAAAACAACTTATCACCTCTGGTGCTTTAATGGCTTATTGGAACCTTAAATATATTAACTGTGTTACAACCCCTGGAACTCTACACAAAGCTATGACATTTAACTGCATTAAGTAGAGCCTGACTAATTTTCAACCCTTGCCAACCGTGCGTGCATCAGGCCTTTCAGGTTTGTTCCACTCAGCAGGTCTCTCTTGAGACAAAGCAGCAGAGGGACAACATTCAGTCTTTTGTTATGAATCATTCTGATTATGATCTTACTTCTCATTTTAACCCATGCCGTTTGACATAAAATTTCCCTGCTATTTACTGAACCTCTATACTGACCATGTATGTAGGGATCCATTTTATTTTTAGGATGGTATTACAATAGTAAAATTCAGGCATAGAATAATATTTTTAATTGAATTTATTCGGTTTCCATTTGCTCATAGGTTCTTAATTTTTTTCATTAGTGGTCCTTAAAAGTACTTGATTTCCGTGTGTAGAAATGTGTACAAACCCTGTATGATGTTTAATTATTACTAATCAAGTACTTTATTTTTTAGGCAAATTTCTCTTTATGTTTATCAAGACATTCTTCTCCGAAGTAAGTCAGTTATATGTATTTTATTGATAGTTTTTCAAATACATTATGACCACCTTTTTACAGTGTTCTTCTTTTTAGGTCAAACAGCGGTACTCTTGGATCCTACATTTCGGAAAGCAGAAATCTCTTACGAGTTACAAATAACAGTAAGTTGTCCTTTTATGCAACAGTATTGATGATATAGTAATGACGTTGTTTAAATGTACTATAAGTGTTTTCATATTTTATAAAAAAGTATGGAGTATAATATAGTCTGCTGAAGTGTTAATCTTGATTAAATTTCATTTATTCAAAATCACATTAAAATAGGAACAAGAAGAAGAAGAAAAATATTGGCTGAGTTCCGTCATTGTTCATAAAATATTTTACTCAAAAATAGAAAGCTGTAAAATAAATTTCTGTTCAAGACATTATTTTTAAGTAGCTGTGTTTATTGATAATTTATATCATTAATAAAGATCAAATTGAAAATATGAAATAGTGGTTTAGGAAATAATGAAGCATTTATGATCTTAACCCGCGGGAAAGCGCGTGGGGTTTATCATACCCCAACCCTACATAAAAGTGGAATATTCCTAACTTGTGAAACTGAAATTCTGTGCTGCTTTCAGTAGCTGAGTTTCTAGTTGTGGTTGACTTTCAGAACCGCTTTTTCTTTGCCTGTGTGTTTCAGAAAAAGATTTATCCGTATTTTGTTGGAACTAGGGTATGACGCACCCCATGCACCTGTCCCCGTGTAAGTGTTTTTCTGACTGAATATTTAGTTCAGAAATTTATTTCTAGACAGTGCAACAGTAAATATTTGTATTCGCAAGTGATTTTAAAGTACTTGACATTAAATTCTTAAAAATTTCTAACCGCATTGTGGTTAAAAGAATGACTCCCTGTGAATTGGAGATGCAACGCCTGTGAGATTTTTTAGAAATATTTGAAAGCGATGAAGACTGGCATTTCGGAAACTGAAGATGAAACTAAGGAATATTTTCTACAATGTTTTGGTTTTGAAAAAGATAAAACATTAATTCCTGATGTTCCTAAAAAAAGAAAAACTGTTCTTATGCTTTTAACATTATATAACGATCATACTATAGATGATACTATTGGAGAAAATAAAACATCAGGAATCATATGTTTTAATAATATGACTAAAGGAGCAGTGGGTATGGGGGATGAAATGTCAGCCAATTATTCAATTGCCAGAATAACAAGGAGATGGCCAATGGTAATTTTCCTTTGTGCACTGAATGTTGCTGTAATAAATGCTTGAATTATATTACATTCAACTGCTAATCCACCAACCAGAAACAAAAGTCTGTTTTTGAAGGACTTAGCATTGCAATTAATGAAAAAAGTATTGAACAAAGATCAGAGATTTACTTTTCCAAGAAATTGACGTACTGCATGCAAAACAAAAGCAGAAGTTTCTACGAAGAATTAAAACGAATACGTGAAATTCGAAACAACTAAGTATGAAAGATGTGATAAATTTTTTGCCCTCGCGCAAGGACAAGAACGTGAATGCAATGTTTAAAATGTGAAAACATTCTGGGCCAAGAACACATGAATGTATTTTGTTCAAAGTGTGAAGAAATAAAATAAGCATGGTGTATTAGAGATGCAATGAAACTTAGCGGCATGATGTTTATTTTTTTATTGTTTTCATATTTATCTTAATTTTAAGATTAGTTCGGAAATTAATTTTTTGAAAACCAATTATTATTCACTTATTTATAATACACAGGAGGGGAAAAAAAAGTTTTAAAACTAAATAATACTCTTTTTATTGTATTTTAAATATTGGGGTATGTGATACCCCACGCACCCACTCTAGTAACTTTTCTTGGTGCGACTTCCACCGGGTTAAGCAAATAAAAAAATTTATAGGTATAAAAACTCAATATATGTTTGCTTGCTTTGAATATTTCTTTCAATCTAAGTTGTTTAAGTTGCTTTGTTTTTTGTGCTATTACTTTCTCTTTAATTTTGATCTCTGATCACTTTCTTAATCGTCAGTAGCAATATTTTCTGAATTTAGAACCATACTGTAAATTTTGCCATCCATTAACTGATTGATTGATTGATTATCACAGTGGAAAACTTCTGTTATATCATCATTTATTACCACTTTTCCTCATTTCTTCACAAATTCTATTATTTGGAAAGTTTTGCTTTTTGGTTTGCAATATTTAAAAACCTCCAAATTCACCTCTGTCATAATAAAACTTAGCTAATGATCCTATACACTATAGGCATTGTATCATTGGATTAGCTAGTAAAAGCATGTTGTTCCACTAAATTTTGTTTTAACACCTATAAGAATACTAACGCATGCTAACGAAGTTAAGCCTGAATTATATATTTAATTATTTATTATAGTTACTCCTATTTCCTACATATACTTAAGTCTTATCCAGTGCTAGACATTTAGTGGCTTGATGCTATCTCTGTGCTCCATAAATTCTCCTGCCAAGCATCTTCCTAATTCTAAAAATTTTATTGCCCTTAAAATCTGAAGATTTTTCCATTTCTTAATTTTGTTACTCAGTGCTACTGTATATTCTAAAAATTTAGCATCTCCTAAATTCTTCTGCCTAATCTTGCCACACCAGCTCTGGCACAGCTCAGGGCTTAAATAAATAATAAATCATTTATTCCCAATTCAAACAGTACTAAATGTAATTTTTTTACCTATGAGTATCATTTGCCAAATATATATTTTGCATATGGAAACAAGTTGTTTACCTGAAGCCTGTAATCAAACCAAGCATAATGTCAACATAAAAGGTTACCATGCTCTCTGGTATTGAACTACTAATATGTATAGAAAAATAATTGTTTAGGCAAATATCAACTTATGAATCTCATTTTATTTTCTTTCATGTGGCGAATGCTGTCAGATGGCAGTTAGCTGTGGTTATATTGCATATGCTTGTTGATTACTGTTTGAGTACTTAAATCAATGACTGCAGCATTCTTGAGGAATTTGAAATGTTACAATAGGGTGTGTAACCAGTTTAGATCAGTAATGAGAATTTCGTATACTGCACTTATTAGCTATGTCTTCTCAAGTATTGTTATTATTTCCAGCATATCTTGCAAAATGTTGAAGTTTATAGAGAGCTTGTTACAATGATAAACATTAGACACTTAACATTTGCTGTGTTTTGTATTCTTAAAATGGGAAAGCAGAATATCATTTGAGTAATTGGGGGAAGTTGAATGAGTTTACAATGTAAAAGTTCAGAACCTAGATATGTTAAACATCTGCTGTTTACCACTGTAACAAATATATCTAATTACTGTGAAAATACTGAACATATCATGCAAGTTGTTCTTATATATCATGCAAGTCGCTGTTATCTAGAACATATCATGCAAGTCGCTGTTATCTAGAAAGTAGTGGTGGTTCCACATTTAGCATTTCAGTCACATCAGCCCAAGTAATAATTAATATTTATTAAAAAGATCTAGGTATATTCATACCATACCCAGTTGGTCATATTATCAACATATGTTTTATGAGAGAAATCATTTTAAGTATACTGCATGAAAAATTTGTATAAGGGAAAAAAAATCATTTAACAGGTTAGTTAAAATATGTCCATAGTTTAACTATATGATTGTGTTATTTTCTTGATTATTTTTTAATCAGATAGTGCTTATTCTGTTTGATGCAAGACTGTTTTCATGTTTCAGATGAAAGGTTTAAATTGCTGAAACAAGGAAAGTTAAATATTGTGAGCACGCTCTCAGAATTACCTCAAACCATGCATGACCCAACATCTTTTAGTGTGGATATTTTCCATATTTCGGTAAGTCACATGATTTTGAATATGTGTTTTTCTTATTTCTTCTGTTAAAAATTTTTTCCTAGTGTTTTCCATGCACTAAAACTTAAAGGGTGTGTGTGTGTGTGTGTGTGTGTGTGTGTGTAGAAAATGGGTCTTTTCTTCCAAGCCGCATAAAAAAAAAAAAATTAAAAAGCTATTTGCATATTAACGGTAATAGTTAATAAAATTTGAGTAACGTATTTGATATTTCCCATTTTCCTTTGGTTTCCACTGGCTTGGAAATTTCTGGCCAGTGGAAGCAAAGTTAAGGTATGAACAGGAAACTTATAAACCTTTATCTCAAAAAAGGGTAAAGAAAACTGGAATTTTTTCAAAAGGTTTGAGAGGTTAAAAAAAGTACCCCTTAGTTCTTGCTAATAAAAAGTTCATGTTTTAATTTTTTTTTTTTTTTTTTTTTAAAGGCAAAAGTGACTTCTTTTAAAAAGAAAGCAAGTGAAGTGTCACTATTAATGCATAATGTATCTCATCTGGCTCGTATCTGATACAGTTTTATCAACCTGTTAATGAGTTTATTATGAAATACCAAAAAAGTAATATTTCTTGTGAATGATGTATTTCATAAGTTTCTTTTGCAGAATGAACAGTTTTAATGTTCTTATTTATTGTATGATAATAGTGTGGCAAATATTTTCACTTGCTCATCTTTTTAATTTGATAGTTTAACACCTATAAGAGTACATATAATGCAAAAGTAAACATGTGGTCATTTTGACCATGTATGCATTTTTTTAACCTATTTTATTACTTTAAAACAAAGTAGGGAAATAAAAAATTAAAGAACATTTAAATTAGCGAACAAAGATTATTAAACATGACCGATAATAAATTTATTACAATTTAAAACTTTTACAAAAGCAGAAAACTTGTTGTTAATAAGCATTGGCATATTATATGTTGGTATAATGTAAAGTTCACAAACTCCTTCAGTTCCAATCAATCAGCATTGCCAGTATCAGAATGTAAAAATGCTAAAAGGTCAAATTGACCTATGTGTACCCAATAAGTGTTAATTCATTCTCTTTGGTCATTGGAAGTCAGCAAAAATCAAGAAATTCAAAAGATTTTCAGTGGGAACCTTGCCATGAAAACTTGCAGAATGTGAAAAATGTAATTGATTGATTTCTTTTATATTTCTTATAATCCATTGTTATTAAATTTTTTATTTTTTTAATTTTCAGCCTGGTTTGATGAGTTTCTCTGTAGTGGGAGTATTCAAAGAAGGTACATATGTTCAGTGAATAATTTCATTTGATCTGATATTTTTTGTCATTTGACATTTCTTTACTCATTTTCATTTTACTAATTCTTTTCAGTTGGAGCTGACATAAATAATGCTACCTTAAAAACCTTTAGTAGAACATTTGTAGTTGTTGCCCAAGGGCAAGGGTAAGTTATTTTGTATTTTTTTATTTGAAGAGCTAAGTTGTTCTTAAAAGTTTATTGTAGTTTTTTAATTCAGATTTTATATATATTTTTTTACAGTTTTGTTATCACAAATGAGACCTTATTCATTGCTCATGCCAGTCAAGAGCAGCAAGCAAAGGTAGGTGTCAAATATTTCAGGTATAGATATTTAAATAAAATTATAATATATAAAGGAAAATGGCTTCTCATTATTTAAACTGTTATGGTAGTTCCTGTACGTTTATTTACTTTGTACTGTGAAGTCATGTTTGTAACTGTAATTTGAACCTGTTGCCTCATTTCAAAATTGAATATGTATAATACAAAACACAATACAAGACGTTTGATTTTGATAATACAAAATTTAAATTATCCATGCATATCATCCCTGTAAGTAAATAAATTTCTTTTAGATTGGAAGTTAATTTACATGTTCTTAAATCACAGGAATTTATCTAGTTATTTTAAAATTTGTTGATCCTTTAAAAATTATGTGTGACATTAGTTTTTTATTCCTTAAGGTCATAAACCACAAAATTTTCATTTAACAAAATCATTAAAACCGAAGGTACACAGTTAATTTGTGTTCTGTTACTAAGAAGTTATAAATTATGTGCATTTGATTTTTTGCTGTTAGTTGTGTACTGGTAATAATGTACCAGAACTGACTCAATGGCAAAAGTACAATAATATGTATTATTTGTGAAAGAATATCCAATAAGTAATTAATATTGTTTTGTTATAAACGTAATATAAAATGATTTTATTTTTGATAATGCAGGTATATAAAAACAGTCTCATTGATACAGACAGATTGAGCTGGAACAAATGTGTTTCCTTAAGTGTTGCTTCAATATCATTATTAAAAATTAAAATGTATTTTCTTAGTTTTCCATCTCACCTCCCCAATTGAAAAGGAAAAAAAAAAAAAAAAGTGTTAAAAAAGTATGCCATCTTAAAACTAGATACCAAAACTATTTTGTTGGTCAATTTCGTCATGTAGAAAGAGAAGTGTGTTTTCTGCATACTAATGATATTTCAAAGTAAAACTCTTATTAGTCCAAAGGGGCAATTAGTCTGTAAGGACTATTAATTTCATTTGGCATTTTGTGTCAAAAACTTTAAAAGGTAGTATCGCTTTTCAAATCGTTGCCACCATATATTATCACCCTGTCTTAAACTATTTAAAGAAATTAAATAATGAAGAATCTGCATAAATGTATGTATGTATCTCGCATTGTGATAAAACAACGGTACCTAGAGCCATCAAAAATTTGAATAATGTAATCTTAAATAGAATATCAGCATTTAGAATTTGAAATTTGTTTTATTATCGATTTCAGATTTTGTAATGCTTCAACGAATTTTTTATCAAAAATCTAAACGATTTTAAAGCGAGCAGTGGCAACACTGTGCGAAAAAAAAAACATTTTTATCTCCAGCGGGAGAGACTCTGTATCGGAAATTCTAAAAAAATGCTCATTTTAAAATTAATTCACGATATTGCTATTGAACTGAATTTTGTAGTTTATGTTGAACAGGATATTTAATAAGTAAATGTGACACACAAAACGTTAAGAAAAGCCTCTGTGGACATAATGTAAAATCTGAAACCTTTCATATTAAATTCTTTCATTTTTTCATTACATACAATAAAAGCACAGCTATTCAGAAAACTTGAAAAATGCCAGATGCAAGAAGATTGCAGATAATTGAGTACATAAAAAATGCAATTAATTGTAGAAAAACCTATGAATGGAAGATATTCTGATACTCTTCTGTTATCAGGACCAGATTTAGAAATGTATGTATGCATTATGTGTGTGTACATGTATGCATTTGTGTGTGTACGAACATATATACATACCTACATGAACACATACATCCATATATATATTGCATTTCTGAATCCAGTCCCAATAACAGAAGAATATCGAAATTTCCAATATAAAATTATAAAAACAGTCTCCTATTTATTATAATTTGAATATCAAAAGCCTACATTTTAAATTATATAAGATTTTGGGAAGGGGGTGCATTTCAGACACAAAATCTGATGTAATTCATTGGCCTTTAGATGTGTAAGCAAAGCTGGTTATGAAATTATATGCAGATGCTGTCAAAATTGTGCCAACCATTGAAGACCAATCTGATAAAGTTGATAAAATGAAGCAGAAGTTTAAAGAAAAATCATTCTTTATTTAATTAAATAACCGGTGGCTAATATTATATCATATAAAACACTTAAATTGTATTTTTTAATTTTTTATCACCACTGTTTATATTTTCAAATAAAGTTGGATATCTTGCCCATTACGCACACTTTTCTTGGTGCTTGGTTCCCATAACTTTTAAAATGCTCCATTGCATGCTATGAAGGCAGGTTCCAAATTTAGCAATTCTTTCAAAACGAAAGAAAACAGATAAGTAGCATTTAACTGTTAACTGCACAAAAATTAAGCCAGCTTATCAGGGAGACCTAATAATTGTGACACTGTAATCCATTATTGGTATTAAATTGTGCTACTACTATGCAACAGTGTCCTACATGTGCTTTATGGTGGATTTACTTGATTAAATTGGGAGAGGGGGATTTCTAAAATTTTTTTAAAAATGTGGTTTCAGTTGAATGTTGGATAGGTCAGGCTTTTATTATGCATTCAGAACTTTGTTTAGATCAATTTTTTAAAATTAGGCTTTTTGGTTCCTGAAATTATTTTTAACATTTTATTCAACTTTTAATACTTTCTTAAAAAAACTTTTAAAGATTAATTCCATTTTATTGATTACTTTTATTTAAAAAAGTTTGAGCATATTTTATTATGTATTTTTTAATTTTCTTTTGTGAGTGCAATATGTTTAAATTTGAATGTTTTTAAATTCCTTTAGGCTTTCCAAGTTCCAGCACCTACTCCTTCACCTAGCCCAGCACCTTCAACAGAAGAAAAAAGCATCAGTGAAAAACAGTTGCTTGTTCTCGAACTGTCAAAACAGACTGGGATGATTTCAGAATTTTCAACAAAGTGAGTTCCTTTTTGTATAATAAATATTGTTAACAATTTTTTTTGCATATTTTTAAAAATAAATTGTAATATTTGCTGTATTAAAATATCTAAACATGAAATTAATGATTTGCAATCATAATTACATTTTTTTATTTAAAATAATTGATTATTTATTTTTATAGATGCCTTGAAGAAAATGATTGGGATTACCAAAGAGCTTTAGCAGTTTTCTTAAAATTTCAAGTAAGTATATCTAAATAAGCATAATAAAGTGAATCACATAACTTTCTATAGGCAGTATCTGTTGATCATTTCTAAAATATATTTCAAATGAATTACATCTAATTTAATCAAACCAAAGTGTCTTAATTTGTTAAATGCATAATGTTGAAATGCAGATGCAAATGTTTCTTCATTGGAACATATTTTTGCAGAGGACATACAATGCATCCTCTTGTAACAGCTTAAATTTCTCTGTTTCTTGAGCAAGTTTGCAATTTAAATAAATTAATGTAAAATGCTGGTGTTTGCTAATTTTGTAAATTAAATATTTTTCAGCTGTAGCTATTTAGTTATATTGCTGTTATTAAAAAATTATTGATGTATTAAGATTTTATCTTTACAAAGTAATATCAGAGAAACTCACAAGAAAGAAGTGATAATCTATTCATAAAGAGAGCAGTAATGTCTGCTCTTATTTGTTATACACAAATCTTTTGCTTGAGGTAATTAATGGAAATTTGCTTAACACAACACATTGAGGTGAAAAAATATGTTAATGGTATAATTCTTGCAAGCTACATAAAAGTATTGTTTATGTCACATGGTATGGCTTATTAACTTTTTTTTTTTTTAAAGGTCTGCAATAAATCATACCCTACATTTGTTATGTACTTTCATTTTTTTGATAAATATAATAATTTTTTCACTACAGGCATTTATTCTTAGCATATAAATATTAATTTATTTAACTAAACTATTTAAGAATCCATTGTAAGCCCTTGTATTGTGTGTAAGAAAGTGGGAATTTTGCATCCTAATATCCCCTCTCTTACACAAATTCATCTCTCCAAATTCTAAAGAAAGTTTAAGCAATGAGAGATTACAAGCTGTGCCACTCAGTAAGCTCTGCTTCTGTATATGATAGACTATATTGTGGTTATCAATAAAATGAGAAACTTAAACCCTCTGAGCAGCTCAGGTTTTTGGATCTTTCATGAAGACCTGTATTTAAAGAGCTTTTATTAGCTAAATACGTATATTTACCAATTTTAATCTCTATTTTCATAAACTTGTATTCATCAAGATGGCACTTATATTATTAATGAAAGTAAAAAAGCAAAATATCTTAAATTATAAGCTAATATATAACAAGTGATAAAAAATCTCATAACCGAATAAACTCAGTCATGGCAATCAGAGAGTTCAATTTATTGTACTTCTCGTGAGATACTTATATGCCATCTTAAGTATGTTTATATGCCTGGTCACACTTATTATTATTAGTTTCTTAATCACCAATAACAGCACTCTCAATCTCAACTTTCAATGAATGTCTTAATTGCCTTTATAGGAGGCCAAAATTGTCTGGATTCATAGATGCCTTCATTTTATTATGCCATGTTACACAGAAGAATAAGTTAAATAAATAATAATAATTAAAATAGATTTTAAAAAATTTACAAGTGATTTCTCATCAAATAATGTGAACAGACTTCAGTCTTATTTTAACATTCACTTAACCCTATAAGTGCATGTACAAAATTATAAAATTCAAATTGAAGAATTTGATTTAAATGGAATCAAAAACTAGTGGTTATTGCATTAATGTACCACAAAATTAAAGTGATGGTGTGTTAAGAACATTCTCCTCGTATATTCAGAATAATGGTTGAGTGTGTTATTCATGGATCTTGCCATCATAGTGTTAATGTTAATTATTTAGAATCATATTTTGGGTGTATTTTCACTCAAGTATAACTTAAGAGCAATTGAATTAAGGATACCTGTCTAATAGCATGTAGTGCTACCTTTCGTCTTGATAATGGCTGTGATTCATCTCGACATAGGCTCGAGGAGTCGCTGGGAAGCCAAATGTTTCCACAACTTCTGAACAACCTCCCACAATTAATGAAGATTAGATGAAAGGTGGTTGGAGCCTTGAACATCTCTCTCAGTTGCATCCCAGATGTGCTCGATTGGATTTAAGCTAGGTAACCTTGATGGCCAGGAAAGCACTTGCAGGTCTGTGAAATGTTCCATCTATTCCGATACAATTCGTAAGCGATGGCAGGGTACGTTGTCTTGCTGAAGGATGATCTCTTTAAGTGAGCTGTCAAAACAAACATACAGGACCAGATGGTCATCAAGGATATCGCAGTAATGTTCACTTGTGAGGGACAATATTGCATATACCAGGGTTTCTATTTCTGTCCATGTGAACACTCTCCAGATAAAAATACCGCCTCTACAGGCTTGAAGAGTTTCCTTCTGGCGGGAAGGATCCGTTGCTTCATGTGGTTTATGCCGTACATGTACCAATGTGAATCTTGACTCATCACTCCATGCAGTATTTTCCCACATCTAAGCAGTCCATTGGCAGTGTTACCATGCCCATGCTAATCATTGCGCCATGACTCTCGTGACTCCCGTACCCCATTGAGAGGAGATGGTGTGGCATCTTACATGTTGCTTTGCTCTAGGGTTAAATTGATGGGTGATCTTTAACACTGTAGCCCATATATCCACTGTTACAATACAGGCTAGCCACTGACGATCTCAGTCATCCACATGCTGTTGTGTGTTGCATTTGACCCTGGCAGGAATGAATTTGCCAGAATCGGAGTAGTTGTACTCCGTACCCTTGGCACAATGGTACGTGAAAACGCGAGTGTCTTCACTACTGAAATGGAGTGACCCATTCTTCGGGCCCTGATGACTCGGCCAAGATCAAATGTGCACTTTGATCTGTACTCTTACCCGTTTTGCTTTTGACTATTAGTGATGCTGTGAGCAACACAATTTATCTTGTCAAACTGCTGCTTACGTCATTTGCTGGTCATTTACAGGCTTGCACACAACTCACCATGTGAATAATGCCATCAATACCTGATTCACTTGCTCTTCATTGTATATATATCTGTTAGGAATTGTTTTCTAGTTAAAGCTTAAGAATACTTTATCTGCAAAAATGTTCCACTTTGGAGTTTTAATGTTTTTTCAGGGAAAATATTTATCTCATCAGCCTATTAAAATAAAAATATAAAAGAATACTCTCTTTGTGTATATTATTATTTGTATATATATATATAAGATTAAGGTATATATATATATAATAATTAATCTTAATAAATTACCTAATACTTGTGCAAAACCTGCATAGTAATAAAAATAATAATTTGCTTATTAATGTATTGTTGAGTATATTATCTTTTTGAAAAAAGGTAGTAGAATTTGGTTTTTTTGAAGTAAATTTATAAGTATTTAAAATTTAAAAATGAATATTGAAGATTTTGTCAAAAATGAAAGACTAATCAATTAACTAAGTAATTATTGTCATTGATTGGAAAAGGAGATAATATACTTAATAATCCATTAGTAAATAAATTATATATAATATGTAATTGAGAATGCATTTTATTCTTATGCTGTACTACTATCTTTGCAGAGTGAAGGTAAAATACCGCCAGAAGCATTTGCCACAGTACCAGTACAGTGATACAGTATGGAGAATTTTTATCAACACTTAATATTTTCCAAGCAGAAACAGCAAGTATATCATGCTGTGATTAAAGACTATCATGTTAAAACAGTTTCCAGACTGTTTACTGACATAATTATTGACTTACAGGATGTGATAGTATAATACGAGATGTTAAGAGAAAAAACATTTTTTTTTTTTTAAAAAAAAGGTTCTTGTCAGTATTTTCTAAGCAAAAACAGCAAAAAATGTATTATGCTGTGATTAAAGATTATCATGTTAAGATGCAGTTTCCAGACTGTTAACTTACTTTTGTAATTGTTGACTTCTAAGATACAACAGTATCATACCAGATGTTATCAAGATTAAGAGGAATTTTAAAAGGAAGATTTATGTCACCACATTTGGATTCCTGCTATTGAGAAAGCAAATGCTCAAAATTTAATAATTTTAATTTTTTTATTGATTCATAGTCATTGCAATATTGATATTTCAAAGTATATCATTAGTATTAGCAAGGAAGACAAATTTTTGATTAATTTTTTTAAAGTTTTAGTATGCAAAAATTACTTTAGTTCTTAAACTTGAAAATGCTTTTTCCCATATGTTTTGGTGTTAGCTATGGAAAATTATAATTTTCATGACTCTGTGAATGCAGTTTTTGTATTTTGGTAATTAAAGCATTTTCAAGTTACCACTACAGGTATTTTTTAGCTAAAAAATATTAATTTTTCCCTAGTCATATTTTTTAATGCTTGACTGAATATTTCCTTGCTATACTTACCCTAAAATTAGCTTTCTAATTTTAATTTTCTTTAAAAAATAAAATAAATATTTCCCAAAATAAAAGGTAGGAAGGGGTAGAAAATATCATTTGAAATTCAAGCTTGCTGTTTTATATATATAATATATATATATAATATATACACATATCATGCAAGGCAGAGGGGTATTAATGGTAAAAATGAATTTTTATTTATCATATTTTAAGTTTATATATTCTTTGTTAAACAGGAAATGATTAATTAAATGCGAGTAGATTATACAAAATTTTAGGTTTTGCAGTTTATACAACATGTATATGCTTATTAAATGAGGAACACCAGCATTTGGTCCATTTCATTTGTTTGTAAATTACTTATGTATATTCTTTTTTACATCTTAATTATCTTTTAATATAAATGTAATAGTAACTTTGATATGTAATAAATTTTAAAGTTCATATATATATCATGATTCTTTTTAAGCTGAATAATTCTGTGATAATAAAATCTGATTTCAAAGGAGGGAAAAAAAAAAGCATATTCTTAATGTTTATATGTCTGCTGTTAAAAAAAAAAGTTACTAAATTCATCAAGTTCAGAATGTTAGAAATTTAAATATGTAGTGCCTTTTTTGTACATTTGTAATTTAATGTTAAGGAACTGTAAAGTTTATATCAAATCTTTTAATTTTTTTATATATATATACGTATGTATATAAAGGAGTATAAATTGATTGTGAACACAAATATTGTATGTAAAAATAACCAGAGTAGAAAAGAGTTTTAGAAAATTATATTAATTTAATTTTATAGCAGCCAATTTTATTTCTTTTGTGTGAATGTGGATGTGTACGTTTGGACTTCCGAGTGATTGCATGTAAATAATTATTCAGAAAAAGTGAACCTTTTTTTAGGGGGGGTATGGTAGTTAAAAACTTTTCTCTACCGTAATAAGGCATGATATGTCTGTTTGTATGCTGTCATTCATATGCCATCAGTATCTCCTGATGTTGTCACAAGCACTGTAAATGGATAAAAAAAGTATTTGGTAAAAACTATTTGTTTTTACCTTGAAGGTGGAAGACCTTTCACCTTTTTCCAGTTTTGAGCACAGAAGAAGACAACAAAGAGGCTGTGAATGAATCCTTCTTCAGGATATTATTTTTCTGTCTAGGTGGTGGGATACTACCATGACAAAACAGATCATCGTAGACCATACCGGGAGGTCAAGTGTAAACTGTGACATGAGCTTAATACCATCATGTCATACATTTGGAGTGGCTGGCATACAAACGTATTTTGACATATGTAAACATGCAACAGCATTTGAAATGCTGGTGTATTTATGACCATAAAAGTTAAAGAATGTCATTTATGTACATCCTTTTAACTTTTTCTGAATGAAATATGCTTGATAAAAGGTGTGCGTGTGTGTATGCTTTTGTGTGTGCGTGAGGAGAAATATACTTTTTCCAAAAATTTAAAAATGAGAAACAAATTAAAGAGGATTATTCTAAATTTATGTGATTAAAAATAAATGAATATATTGTAAAATTGTGTCTTGTGAAAAAACTAATTCAGTAGGTAGTGCTCTAAATGTTTAAACTTTTAACATTGTTAATTGAAAATTTTTGCATTTTTTATACATTTGAGAAAGGAATATTAGTAATGAATTTTTAGAAATTGTGCTAAAAGCTCTGTAGAAAATATACACAGTAGTAAGAAATTTTCTATTTTTGAAAGATCAGACCTTAAGGCAGTTTAGATAAATTTTAATTAAAAGTAATATTCTTTGTTAAAAAACATCTGTTGATTTCTTTGTTCTCTCCCTTTTGTGGGAGGGAATTTCTAATTAAGTAATCAATAATAGCAGGTCTGACCTTTAAAACATGGGGAAAATATTGATAAAATATGAAAAATTTTTACCTTTTTAGTATTTGCTTTTGATATATGCAGATTCTTACAATTTCTTCTTGGTGCAGGTGCTGGTGTTTCTTGTTTAATTTTCATCAAGTTTGAATTTCAAATGAAAAACAAACTAGTGCACATTTTAATGCAGCCTTTGGTTGTTATAAAATGTGTGCTGGTATATAATAAATAAAACGGTAGTTGCAAGTTTGACATTAGGGGGAGAAAATGAATTAACATACTATTTAATGAATACTTTGTGGGCTTAGTGTATCATAAACAAACAGTTTGTGGTTATGTTGGTTTATAATAAAAAATTGAATTTAACAAACATTCTCTATTCGTAAAAAGCAAATGAAACAATTTTATAATAAAAAAAAAAATAATATGCAGTAAATAGAAAGTATTTTTTAAAACTTTAATTCATTAATTGTGCCTAAATATTAGTATTGTTAAAAGGTTGTTTTTTTTTGGGGGGGAGAGTGTATATATTTCATTATTACATGTGCGTCTTTTGGAATCTTAAAGCATTTGCAAGAAACTGTGTGGTAGCAGTTCATACAGAAGTGCAGTTTGTACATTTTAAATATGTAAATAACAAAGCTGTCAAATTGTTTTTTTTAGACTACAATAATGTAAATTCATGAGTCCCATGTTTTGTGGTTCCGTAGTTTCTTTAAGAGAATTTGTAATAGCTTAAAGCTTCATAGAATTTTGTTTTTATTGTTCCATAATGGAATATTAAACTTGCACATAATTTAATATTTCTGGCCAACAGATTTCCAAGTTGATTATACCTGAGGTATAATCTTCTGTCTGAAGAATGCTGAAATTTTCTTTTAATTAGTTATTGTGTTGATTATGTAAAAAAAAAAAAAAAAAAAGTTGTCAGAATTCATTGTGTGCAAGATAGTTTTCTTTTCCACAATATTTTCTATGATGTGTTGCTAAACGGTAAAACTTATATTCATGTCATTTTTTTAAAAAGTTTTAAAAGATGTGTACATGAGCACTGTGTACAGATTTTGTATTTTAAAATAAAGTTTTGTGCTTATGTGAAAATTTGTCTCCTATTATTTATAAATATTATTACCATAAAATACACTTTCTTATTTGCATAGAGTTGGTCAGCACATGTTAATCTTTGATGTTAACTTTTTTTTTGGTAATGCTGCCAATGAATCATTTTTTTAAAAAATGCCTTCATTGGAACTTAAAAAAATTCTGTCAGTACTTTTACTCTAAAGTATTAGTATATAAATGTATTGTAGAAATTTAAAGAGTCTAATGTTATATACAGTCAAATTTCCCATTAATGGATATCTCTGGGACCAAAGCTTTTATCTGTTATTTCAGGAATGACTGTTTAATAGAAATATATTCATCTACTTCATTGATCTGAGGTTTAAGAATGTTCTGTAAATAGTTGTCTTGTTAATAGACATTAATTTTTATTGCAGTTACAAGCATTAATTTTTTTAAATGACTAAGAATGTAGGTGAAAAGGAATGAGAAATTCTCCCTAATAAAGAAATAAATTATTCATATTTAGTACAGAACCACTTAACAATGGACTAAATAATGAATCATTCCTTAAGGACAGAACCCCTCTTGTCAAAAATTTGCAAGTCCAACAACAGTAAATAAACAGTAGTCTCTAAAATTACTCACTGAGCAAAAGGTAAAATCACTGAATATAAATTCAGCAGCACTTCAGTCTACAACAAGCAAGATTAAACTCTGCACTAACTGAGAACTTTCACTGGCAATACTGTTTATCATATCACTTAGGTTTGGACAAAAAGAGATTAATTTTAGAGTCTCTCAGTAGGCAATCTACCAAAGTTCATTAATTTTAGTTAATAGGTTTCATAATGGGTGGCGCCACCTCTTTTTCAAACTATTATTTTGTTCGTAAAAGCAATATTTATGCTTATCGTTGCTTTCACATGGAATTTTACCAATGAATTTGTGAAGAGATTTCAAAATGCTGTCGTTGAATGTTTGTTATCAATTTATGTCTCAAATTTCACGCTTGCATTAAAAAAAATTGAAATAAGAAACAAATGAAATACTTTTCTTAAGTGACAACAGTGTTTAATTTATCACTCATTTTTTAATACTCTGCTAACAGTAAATTGTTTGTAAATAGGTTTTGAATCAACTAAATATAGCAATACGAAATTGGGGGTATTTTGTACCTCTTATCTGTTTCATTCCCTATTATGCACGAAATTCTTGACGTCATCTGTATCCATAACATTTAGGGACTCGCTTTCAGCTATATTAATATTGAGTAATGTATTGAAATACTTGAACCAGCTAATTTAATAAAAAGAATTCTTCACCCTTTTATTCGCACACTGAAAGTTTCCTTATACGTATCATAAAACACAGGAAAAGAAATATTTTGCAAAACATTAAATAATTATCAATGCTAAATAATAAATCTGATGATGAAAATTTGAAAGCAAAAACAATAATTTTAGTAAGGCCACCTATCGATCCGTAAAGTAACTACACAGTTAAG